TTTYYTTCTTTTTCTTTTCAATAAAAAATACACATTTTCTCGACGTGTGCGTGAAGTATGATTTAAAAGTCGTTATCTTCTTTAAAATACCCTCCATAAGTACCCTTATTTGAAGAAGTTGAAATGTTCTTTCGACACACAGGTATTAATCACGGCTTTGCAGCTAATATCTCTATAAAACAACGCCGGTCGGTTACACAAGCGACTGAGGTCATTCACTTTTCATCATGTAGAATAGTTTGAAATCGTCGTCTTTCCTCAGCCTTGTTCTTCAACGGCCGATCTACTTCAGTCGATTGCTTTTATCCCTACTTATCTGATAAATATACATGCATTTCTGTCGGCAAATGTGATTCGAACTATCTTTTCTCGGTTAAGAGTTTACTTGCAGATTGAAAAGCAAGGACTATAGGCGCAGCTGRACTGTTGCTCTCTCGTCTTGGAGAAACTTGCACAAAACAGATCGCAGAGCACACAAACTTATGGATTTTCACTTAATTAKCCTGAGGGAATGGAAATAACATTATTGTTGTGATGTAAAAAGTGAAATTTAAATGTTATTACAGAAGTAAGGAAATTGATGGAATGGTTGGCGATGCAAATGGCTTGCGACTGTCCATGCTTGCATTGGCACCCGGATTGCTTGAAGAAAACCACTTTGGGCACATATGTAAGTATTGCTAAACTTTCTTTTTTATTTTAGCTACTTTTTTGGATTAATAGGTACGTTTTATCTAAGATTGCTTCATTTGCATATTTATAAATGTAAACGTAAGAGAGCTAGTACTCTATAACTGGTCACTAAAATTCTATCCGAACTTCTTCTGAGCAACATGCCGTGTAAATAAAAATCAAAACATCAAATAAAATGCGTTGAATAGTTTCAATTAGGGTGCTTTCTGTTGCTCCATAATTTCCACCGTATGCTATTTAGAATTCAGTGTACAGTGCTAATTATGGTAATAATATTCTTCGGACATAAAGGTGGATAGAGGGGTCGTACAAAACGATTATTCTTATAGCTGTAAATAAGCTATCCCAAACACCTTCATTTCATTCTTAGACGAAGCTCTTTACAAACTTAATAAYCATTGTACAAATGAAAATTTTCATTTCTATGTGGTATTTTTTTAATTTTTTTCATTCAAAATATTATGAATCCTTGGTAATGGTTGAAGACCTCGTAGTTAAATTAATTATAATTGTGGCAAATGACTTTCTAATTAACTTTACTACTCAGATTTGTGGTCAAAGTTTAGGATAACTGCGAACACTTCAAACACGACGTTCGCTAACATTATGATAATTGGAAAACTCTTTCAGAAAAAAAATTGCTTTGCAAAAAAATTACAAAAGAAAATTGTGCCCTTTCTTTAACAAGACGAAGAAAAATAATTTGTTTTGTTTTGAAAACTTGGCAACAGCTGGCAAAGACAGAATKAGTCGTTCCTCTRTGCTTGCATGTCTTTGTAAGTCATTTGATATAGGCACAAGAAAAAGTGATTTTTTAAGATCCAAAAACACTGGGATATCTATACACTAAAAGATCGAGTATTGCTGTTTCTTGTTGTTTCTAACCCTGAGTCTTAATTGTTCACGGATTTTTCGAGAACWGCTATAAACTAGTGAAACGAATACTAGAGTGCAAAAACTAAAAGCATGRAACCGTATTTCTACCAAAATGGTGCTAAATAGCCCAAGATAGTGTAGATTAGATAATAAAAACAAAGAAATTCACATGATTTGGAACAATTTAGCACTTGGTTATATTATTTACACTCTATGGYCATCAACAATTTATTCTTCTCGCCATTTATTATATATTTGTAACAAATACTGAATCAAAATTACTATGGATTTTAAGTTTTGGTCACTSTTTAGCATGCATGGGTTTGTCATATGCACTGAAAGGAGATTCGTGGAAGATTTGCATGAAAACTAAAACGATTGATTATCGCAGCATGCGGTCCTATAACTTTCGCAGTCTTCTTCGAACGACTAATGTGAAAAATTTAAGAATCCGCATGATGATTGTTTTGATAAAGTGAATAGTTACAAAAGAAAGAGAAATAAAATAAAATAACGAATGCTGAAGTGCAAAGTGCTTAGTGATCAAAACATTTCAATAGATGGATGGCTAGTTGTGAAAGACGTTGCAGCTTTACAGTCACTCATTCAGGAAATATAACAATGTTTCGAACAAGGAATAATTGTTTAGCAACCAAAAACACTTCAAGCTGAGGTTGTCTTTACATTCAAAAATATTTTGCTGAAGTAAGCTTGTGTTTTTAAGTTTGGGTTGAAAACAGAAAACATTACTAATGCTGGTCTAAAAAAACAATATCCTACTGACATTTGAAATATTGACAAACAACGAATTGTGTTTGTTTAACAAGAATAACAATTTCTTTCAGGTTTAATTGTCACGAAACAAACGAAAAGAGCTGGAAAGCAAATTCAACTCTTGGTTTAACAAGCTGGAGCTGGAATGTTCTCTGCATTCTCCACGTTCTAAAAGTTGAAAGCTGTTGTGCAATTCAAGTGCCTTTCTGACAAAATAAAGAGCAAACAATCTGAATGAAAACAAACCAGTCGACCATGTCCCGTCTTTGTATATAAAAAGTTCACTGATATTTGTCATGTGGGCGAAGCTTTTTTGTCTTTTAAGAGTAGCTTGTTATTCTAGTCGCACATCCCAAGTCATGTTTGTTGTTTTCTCGGTTTTTGAAGTGTATTCAAAGCAAATTCAAGGTGGTTAGTWCACTGTGAGCTGGTCAAGGTTTGGTATATAACAACTGTGGTTACAATCCGAAAACAGGATGAAAAGTGAAACCACAAGAAAACGGAAGTGGGATAAGCGCTCGCTAAGACGGCCTACAATAATTCCATATGCAATAGTGTTTTCCTAAAGTCGTCACAATAAACCCCGATTAAGCATAAATCACAGATCGGACGACAATCAATTCTAAAGCCAACTGCGCATTTTCAAGCTTCTTTTCTGTCTTTGAGTATTCAGTGTTATTGACCACACGCACTTGTGATGTGGAGATTTGTTTCTTGACTTAGAAAATACAAACATTGATAGTATAAGCACCAGTTAAAAAGGGTTTTGTTTATGTAGGAGATGTATCGATAGCACAAGGCTTTAACGACTTCATTGCAAAATAAACTGGTTGATGAAACACCGCTGACGGTATTTGCGGTCATAATCAACTACACTCGTTAATGCATTAACGGCTTAAACCAAGTGATTGAAATACTGTAATAATATCAACTACACGGTACTAAAATAGTTTTGTACAACACACAGGGTCTATATATTTGCAGTGTGTTGCATGTATACCCGTCAGTACATAGCAGAAATACGAATGCCATAGAGTTTACGTTTCTATTCCGAGTCGATGAATTGTAAATAAGAAAAGGTGCCAGTATTTGACTATCAATTAATGATTTTATTTCATTGACCCAAAGACCGATTAGAGGAAACGCTGATAAATAACAAACTTGATATAACAGAGGATTCTAGTATTCACCAAGTCGCTTTTAATTAGGCGRTATTCACGCGTACTACAAGCTATCTTACCTGCCCGCTTTAGTGACAATCATCTCTGTGCCAAGAGCGTAAAATTCATCCCAAAGGCTTTTCATTTCTAGCTCGACGCGAAGATGCGCAAGGCTTGTTGTTGTAGGAACACTCGTTGCCGGAGGGGTCGATGGTGTTTGAGAAAGACMCCCATCGTCTTTCGACTCCGTTCTCTGCGAGGACGAACTGGTTGAAATCTTCTTGCCTGTACCAGCATTACGAAGATGTTCTGTGGATAGGATCAATATTTCATTGTRAATCACCTTCTATCTATCTCGGACGACYGCTAGGATTAACGATCATAACAGATTGTCTGTGCTATTACTCACTCAAGACGCTCATTCGGGGAATTTTACCCTAAGTCGCGTCGAAAATTGAACAACTTCCATGATAGAATGCTTTAGAGAAGTACTGTAAATAAACTGCAACTAATCARAGCCAAATATCTTTACAAYCACGTTGAGTCAGTCTTCAAAAGTAAGATTGCCTTTGGATTCAAWTTGCGCGTACTTCAAATAACTTAATTTTTGAACCACGAAATCTTAGCTACAGACATTCAAGAGTAGGCAAAAGTCCATCGTCACCTTACCTTCCAAACAGCTCAGCATAATTCAATGTTGTGGTATTTTGAGCCGAGGCATGTAAAGTTCGTTTGTATTTAGTTCAAACTATGTCGACGTAAGTGCTAAAGACATATATAGAATTACTGATACACGAGGCCTGAGAGATACGTATGCCTATCGTGCCAAAATCAATTGCAACCCCACTTTGACATTTCACACATTCAATGTAAACATATCGGGAAATGCCGCGTTGGAATGACAAAATTACCTTCCATGTCCCGAGTAAAACTCTGAGAGTCCCAGCCGAAAAGGGGACCCTCTTTACTGACGTTAAACAGTTCGGAAAGCTGTGACGCGTCGATAAGATGAGCTATAGAAAAGGCGTTTGCTTTGGGAGACAGGAAACCAGAGGAGTCCATCAAGAGAAGCTCATATACGCAATTTTTGATGGAGGGCAGACGACGGTGCTCTCTGGAAAACCAAGATTCGCGCCCTTTTCAAAGTGCCGATTGAAGCGTCTGTAGAAAAGATGGAGCGTCGGCGCGTGGTTAGGTCTTTCCACTCTCTGTTGTCTTCTCAATCCCCTAAGGATGGAATTCCTAGTATCTGAGCTCATCAAAGTCCTACGTCAATCAACGAATCAATTAAGAGAACAAAACCTGTCATCTGAGACCTTTGAAGGGGTGAAATATTGCGCGCTCAGTATTTTCTATCGCATAGGCCGACTTTGAGTGTTATGAATGAGATAAATTGAATTTTACATCGCAAGGTTTTTCATGAGGGTAACTTGAAGAGAGTGCATACACGGATTTCCRTTTTGGAAGTGTCGCTTTAAAAAGCTGGACTTTGATTGTCACAACTCAGCGGTCAACATGGGACAATCAACCTACGCACATCAATCATCCTCGAGCATTTTACACATGATTAAAAGCGATAAAGTACTTTTGCCTATGAATTGATTCCATTTTCAATGTTTATAACACCAAGAGTACACTAAGAAGTAAATATCAACGAGGTCACTGAATTCTGAATCCACTGGSTTCCATTTATAACCCTGACTCAAAAAAATRTTTGAGAAGGCAGTGGCGCTTATCATGTGATTGTTTGCGCGGCTATTGACAGCGGGATCCAAAACATTGTCCTCTGCAATAAATAATACTGTTATATCACGCAGGGACGAGTTACAATGCCGAACTCTTCTGTTATCAATACGAGKTTTTCTTTTAAYGACRCGTCAATCACCGATGRACAACAATCGCGAAGCGCAAACGCGTACGATTGCGAATAACAAGCTTTAAGAAAGAATCCGTCAACGAGAGCATTAACAACAAGACCCTATTCCCGGGAAAACTACSAACTACTTTCACGACCGCAAAAACGTACGACCAGCTGCGTTAAATGAGTTTTTTTAACAGAAACAATTCTCTGTGTTTTATTCGAGTTTATTTTGCGTGMATAGTCCAAATTCCTGTTTATGTAGGTGTACGCGCGCATGTTATTGYAGATATTTTCTTGAAACAATATCAGCTCTGTTACCTCTTAAACCATTTAACTTGCGTATAAACTAGCTAAATACGTAAGCTCCACTTTTCAGTGAAGAGATACTAGAACTGACTGCAGACCAGTCGGGTAAAATACGATCTCCCGGACAGACCAACACTGACCTCCCTAATGATATCCAGTTCAATGGAAAGGAGGAACACACACAAAAGTTTTTGTAAGATCACCTCGTCTGATAGCACAACCATCAAGTAGAGAGGTAGATACCAAGTTGTCTGTTTTATGTTATTTTTGAGAAACACAAACCATCACAAGACAGTGCRCAAATAGTTTTGACATGCATGATGTATATTACGTATGACGGTGAAATCCTGATTTTTGGCCAAACTCATGAGCGAATTAACCTCTTAAAGAGGAGCCGCGCGCATCCAGCTTCTGGATTTTTGGTCTAGACAGTACAGGATAGCTTTCTGCGTTAAATAGTGGGCTGTTTGCTATCATTATATTCAATCTGTGCAATCCGTTAGAAGTATTGCGATGTAATGTGATGTGTCTTGTCACTCGCTGCGCAAATGAACATGGCCTGACAGGCAGCTCAGAGAATGTGAATGAGATATTTCCCATCCTGTTTTTTTTTTTGTTCATTCATTCATTCTTCGCCGTCTCTGAAGAACAGGAGCTTCATATTTGAAATGTTAGCCAGCTTTCTGGACCAACAAGGTCTTTCTCTTTCGTACGCCACACTCACACACATTCGAGGACGATTCTCGTAATGTTTAGCACACTTAACTGTCTATTTTCAGAGTTTTTTAAATAATCTCTACTGGAATCAGCAAATTCCGCACTAGTGACATGCTCTTTTGGGGGTAGGCAAGAGAGAGAGTGTGAACTGGAATGTTCTCCGCATTCTTTGGACGCCTTAAGTCGAAGCCTGCTCTGTGCATTTAACGTATCTTAGCTGTCAAAATAAAAACAGAGGAACTACAAATGGATGAAGAAGATCAAATAATAAAGAGAAAACAAAGAGAAAACAAAGTAAGGGTGACGCCCTCTTAGTTCGCACTCTTTACACTACCATGAGGTCATAAAACATGCACCCATTTCCCTATACATTCTTCATTTTTCAAAAAATACTCATTTGTCGCTTTGTGTGATAAATTTCCCGCGTAGATCTGCCGAGTCTTGTTTTTAGCTTATAAACGGATTAWGTACGGACTGGAGCCGTGATATGACTGTTCAGAAGGCTCAACTAAACTCCTGCTGCCAATAGATTTTCTTGTTTATGGCGTAGGGTCGTGCTATATCGCATTGTGTTACCACGAGTCGTGTCGTGCATGGTAAGTCGCAAATGAGATTCGCTGCGCCGTGTCTCTTGCAAGTTTTTTTAATTCTATTTTTATTGCTCATTGTCTTGACAATACGTCGTTGTTCGTTTCGAAAGTATCAACTGGAGCCATGTTGTTGTATGTCAACCTGTTGCGAACAGCAAACGAGGCAGATCCGCCAGAGTAGCCAGTAAATTGTAATTGTACTTGTAAGCGCGAATCGTTCTTTCAAGATGTTAGTTTCAAAATATCTTTGGTGACAGAAATCGTTAATTTAGCAAAAAAAAAAAACTGTCCTCAGTTTTTAGTTCGGTAAAATATTAGCCTGCTAACAGGCGTTCCTGCTGGGGGGCCTCCCCATTCTCTCTCGGCCCCCAGCAGGAACGCCTGTTAGCAGGCTAGTAAAATATCCGCCATCTTGATGCTTCAATCAATACCATGATGCACTTCGGCAAATTATCATGAAGTCACAAAGATTACAAGAGCATTGTCGATCAAGGGTCGTTCGTTGTGGTTTTCTTCACAAACGGTTTTAAATTAAACGAACTGTTCAGTAACACAASGGAATGGATCACCACTCAAATACTACGGAACCTAGCTAGCGTTTGGCGCCAAATGAAAAGTTTTAAGTCATCATGGCGGGGATATGACGTAATAATGCTCAAATCTAAAATACGAGCAAAGTAACAATCAAATATCATAACGAGCRTAACTATCTCTCCGCAATGTCGGAGGAATAAAGGAGAAAAAACCCATGATGACGAATATGCTTTATATTTTTATCCAATATGGCGGGTATTAAACTTACCGTGCAACCAACCATCTTGCCCTGATGAGGAAGCGCCCATTATTGAATACGTTTGCCTAATCCATGGCATACATGTTTTGACTTCCTGGACCTACTYGCTTCTTATCTTAACGTTGATAGAACGAAAAGGACCTATTTCCTCTGTCCAGGATGTTCAACGTTGACACRAGAATGTGGGTYGTTTGATCGGTCAGCTCAAAGCCAGATCAAGGCATCGTTGTTGGTATTCTTTCAAGTTCCGTCTCATCGTAGATAATCATGACTTGGTTTCGTACCTTCTAATATCCTCAACTCATGTAATTTTACAACACTTTGAAGACAGTTAATTTTCATATCGACTAAAATTTTATAAGTGCAAAAAAATTAGCATCGTTGAATTTTGATTGATAAAATTACATGGTGGGGTTGTATGCGACATTTTTTGCGATAAATTKCTATGGTAAATTAATTTACAGATGTATGATAAAAGCTAAAGTACCAGCCAATCAGCTAAGAGAGARACAAGAGGAGGGAAAACGACAATGTTTTGAACTGGTAATTCTTTTTATTCTTGACAGCTTTTTTTATTTTATTTATTTATTTTTTTCATTTACTTTCTTTATTTTTATTTTTATTTTTATTATTATTATTTTTATTTTTTGCTGTGCCATGCAACAATACTTGCCGGCAACACTACCAGTCCGGCCGGATTGGACTTTTGACGGACAAAATCTCGGCTGTTCGACGCGACGGTCAAGAATGTTTTTAAATGAGTTGTTACGAGAAGATCGACGTGCAGAGACGTTAATGGACGGGCGTGCGGTTGAGAAAAGGTCAGTGATCTTTGTTAGTAATGCCATTTTGTCTTGTCTCAGTATTTTTTTACATTGACGTGCAGTTTGGAGTATCACCCCACAGTTGACCTTTCCTCTCCATCCGAGTTCAGTTTTCCGTCCATTCCTTGTCGTCTTGAATCTCTTTTTTTTCCTATTTCTTTATTCTCACAAATCCGTATTTATGTTTTTCTCCTGGATGTGTAAATTACTTAGTACCCAGTCAGTTTATTTCTCTATTTATTATTGCGCAAGGTGTTTTCTTTCTTTTTTGTTTATTTTTCTCTATTTTTTGATTTTGTTGAGAGTCACATATGTTCACTCTTTAGTAAAGATCACAATTTGAAAAACATATTTTAAAAAGGAAAGTTATAGTATTAAAACCGACTATTCTTCTTATCATTCATTGCGYTGTCCACATCAAGACCTCAATGAAAGCAAATCTTTAACAGTAAAGTGATTATACCTGACCTTTTATTGCGCATGCGCAGTACTGCTATAAACAGATAGGGGGGTAGACCGGTGCAGCGCTCGACACACGCCAAGAACTTGAAATACAAAATGTGCTTTCTGTAGAGAAAGAGCCGCAAACCTGATCATGCAACGGCTCAATGTGCAAACCAGACCTGCTCTTGTACATCTCAATTGCAATGTGCAGTTTATGTATAATTTTACTTAATGTTACGGGGATGGTATGCTAGAAGACTTTTCTTAAGCAATCTAAGGAAATTGGTCCGTGTTCCGTTGAAAAGTTACAAAGTTCAACCTGATAAATATTTTGCTAAACGATCCACAAATATGAATGGCATATGAATTCTCWTGAATATCGTCAACAAACTTYGATCGTGGGGATTTTCACYCAAGATCTGGAAAAGGTTTATTTTGCACTAACTTCAGGAATGAAAAGRTTGAAAAATATAGAATTAAAAAATTCGTGACATTATGTTTTATCTRTGCATTTGGTGTTAATATCKCGGSCAGCACTCAACATTATCGGYTGATCTGAAGGATGGATGTCAACGCAGATTGTATGGTCGAAAAAAAATATTTGGAAGTGCTCTTGAATAAACTATTAAAATTGAGTAAGAAATTTCTTTGWKATTCTATTATTTTTTCTTAAAAAATGSCGATTGTTTTGTTTTGATCGTATTTTCTGACTGTTTTTCATGTTTATTTSTTGTTGTGTKTTTCTTCCGTTCAGATCATTGCTGATGACTCACTCTTTTGCTTTCTTGTGGCTGTTTTTATTCTTTTTTTCTGTTTTCACGTTCTTTTATATCTCTAACTTCTTTCTCTTTACCTCTTTTTTTCCTTCTTCTGTTTCTTCTTCTTCTTGCCGCTTCTTCTAAGTTTTTCCTCCAGTCTTCTTCTTGTAATTCTTGTTCTTATTTTTCTTTTCATTTCTGTATTTCTTCTTTTCAGTCTTATTTTACTTCTCATTTTTTTCATACTACTTTTCGATAAAGCACTATATAACAGCAGACGTACTTCAGGCATGAATATTCTTTTCTGTAATCGATATATCATTGCAAATTGATAGCATCAGGGCTTTCGTGCAAGCATCAGGCCCTACCAGAATGATACTGAACCCTTTATATAGAACACTAGATCAAACAATGACAAGAATCTCAAAAAGAGAAGTATTTTACACTGTCCCAAGGTCGTACAAAGATGTGACACGGACTTGAAGTGTTTCTAAATTTGGCTCCTTCGATCGATATATACCAGCGTAAAAAGAAGCAAGATGCAAATGGAACTTAACAGATTTCCAAAAAACTTTACTACTGATTTTAGTTGAGTGAGATTCCGTACGAAGGCACTGGTTTAGGTGCAACCGTATGACACATCCAGCTGAAAGACGGGATCAAACGTGTATGAAGATCATTAACACCAGACYGATCATTAATTAGCATCATTTAGACATCATTATTTCACAATCATCGGTGTAATCACTATGTAAATAAACAAATTGATGAAAAACTAAAACCTGAAGGAAGTTCTAGTTGCATTTCTTCGTCGTTTTGCGTGCTACTTTGACGTAAATGTACTCTCAGAACTTTTCAGTGCTAAAAACTCATGAATTGTGCGATAAACAAATTGTCTTAAACCTTCCGAAAGAAGCTAAAATTCACTTCATGGACTATACGTATTTTAGCACTATTGTATTCCTAATAAATGAGAACTATAATTTCCGTTTTTAGGATTTGGTATCCCTGTGTCATATCAAARCCCTTGTCAATATGCCTCTTCTACTGATCAATCAATAAAATCTGCAAAAGCCAAAACTAAGCACGCGTTATTCCGTAGATGATTCTCTTGAAATCGCCTGTCTTAAGGGGTCAGAACAGTCAAGACGTTGCCAATTGCCAAGAAAAGGTAATCCCCTTACTATTATCGTGCAATTTCAAGGATGTTCCTCTTACTACTCTAATAATTAGCTTCAGAATTACTTGTTCTGTGGAGTTGTTTGTGGTTAAGTAATGTGCTTGTAGAGTTCACGAKAAACAAGCTTAGAATTTCACAATCTCTACATCTAAACTAATTATTTGAAAAGCTCTATTGAAACCAATGGACGTATTTGCTTGTACAAGTCAATAAAACTAGTTTGACTTTAAAAGGACTTCAATAGAAGTTGAACAAAGCTTTTGGTCAGATTGTTTTCATGTTTTTTCTCATGATACGGGCGTGAAGGCTATCAGTCTTGTCAAAGATCCCGGCAGCGGCTGCCCTAAGCCGATAGTAAAACGCTACAAATTTTGATTCAAAATGTCCTCAATGGCAAAGTGTTCGCGGCCTTTCAGTCAGTGACGGTATTTTTTTTTCTAGTAGTGCTCAAATAGCTTTTTTAACGATTATTTGACGAAATAAGTTCTAACAATATTAACTGATAATTAATATGTTTGGTATGCAAACATAAGTGTAGCAATCTTACAAAGATCGTTTAATAATTCTGTAAAATTAAGTAGAAACCTACTTCACATGCCGGACAGGTCTTGTGCGTCAGTGCTCAAAGACGGAAGCCATTTCCCCGACAGTGCCAAGTTTATTCGACAAAATAAAGCATTTGTTAACTTGTTTATTCTACTATTTTGTCACGTTTTTGGCCTCTTTAACAGGTGTTTAAGCCTATACTTTGGTGGAGATTTCTTTTTTAGGCCGATTTTCAACTGTTTGATGAAGCTGTGAAAAGATAAGTTGAAAATCAGAGGTCATTGCGGAGACATATAGAAGTTGGAACACATTAAAACATGCATAATATACACTACTATATACGTGTGTATAAAACAGTATAAGATACCTTCGTTTCGTTATCAATTATAATTTTTTCCTAATTGGATTTTTTTTTCTAAAGCTATGGAATTACTGAAAATAATGCGAAACTTTCAAATCCTCTTTGGGTTTGAGTGATTGCGTATCAATCTCAATAACACAAGAGACTGGATATCTATAAGCCGTAAAATCGACCGTAATTTCAAAAATAAACAAATGCTATTAAAATAATATTCCTCTACCTGATGTGASTTTCACACCTAAGGTGTCTAAGATCTTTCTAAACCCGTTTTTAATGCGCTAAAACACGTTTTTCAGTTACCACATCTAAAACTATGAATAACTTTTTTTAAATACGTTTTAAAATCTGAAAGTAGTCATGAATTTTATACATTATGAGMGYGTTCGTGCTTTGGTTCTTTCTCGGAATTCGGTTGATGTCTCTGTGTTCTGTAAAGTCCAACAAAGTGAGCCGAAAGCCATGACATTTACCAGACCATCAACAGGCAAAACCGCGTCTTGTTTTCAAAATTCTACTGTTAAACACAAAAAAACAACAACAGCGAGACTTTCTATAAACCTTCGTAGTTTGGTACGAAGTAGAAACAATTCAGTTCAAATGAATAGAAAGTAATTTAACGAATCAAACTATAATATAAACCAATACCTCAAAACCGGTTGTACGCGTAATTTTTTGTAAACAAATTGTTTATTTTTCATTTCATTAAATACATATGGCTGGAAAAAATAATCCTTAACAAGAGAATCTGTAAATGTGGTTTCGAAATTCCTATGGGGYGTTTGAATTCCACRTTAATTTACCATCTATTGTTAGAATCTCAAGCATTGCCATGAGACGGCAAATAGCCCCGGGGCAATRAATTACTCAACTGTTTGAGCCGCTCAACACTGGAGATTCATTCCCRCTTTGTAAAACTCGGTCTGTGTGTGTTCTTTGACTCAAGATTAATATAAAAGGTCTTCTCTTTTAGATCAATTAGACGGTAGACATATGTCCTTGAGATGGGAAATGTTTTTCACATCCTTCGAAATTTTTTATCTTTTTAACTGACTACAACATATTGTCGACTTTGTGAAGAATGTGGAGAACTTCCAGAACTCTGATAAAGTGTTGTAGCGATAGTATAGAATCTCTTCTACTGAATCAGCGATAAATCAAATCAAATTGATGAAAAGAAGGTCTGGGATGTTACAATTAATAGAAAAACGCATGAACTAAACCATTACAACAATTAAAAAACTAAAACGAGGCGAACTACAAAGTCGTTCTATGAGGTTCGAGTAATAATGTTACTCGGTTGAACTTATCTACTTCACAAATACCTTGAAATACATTAAAAAGCTCTGTTTATTGTTGTGTTGTTGTTGTTGTTGTTGTTTTTGTCGATAATTGCTTTCTTCTTTTTCCATTTTAAGTTTTTATCACTAAAACTCAAATATGCATTATGAGAACTATGCTGTTGTCGGCCTAGAATAAAATGAGGATATTCTTTTCTTTCATTTTTCTTTGGAAAAATTTTAATATTTATTCCAAATTTTCGCTCTACTTTGTGAAATAGAAACYCCTCAAGTTGCATTTTTGTTGGTTTTCTTTAAGTGTGTGGTAGAGATTCACATCGGTCGTCAAGAGCTCATTCTTGACATCTACTCTTTACAAGATATCACACCGCGAGCTCAAGCTATGTCACAAAACATCTTGATAAAATTTTGAATGTTTCTCTGCGGTTGACGAGACAGTCACAATCGTATTGTGAAAGGATGCATGATTTTGTCATTCTTCAGATGATTGAGAAGTTGACTTTGGATAATAGAAAGTGTCATTGATATACCATCAATGATCATAATAGGTCGTTTCGATCTTTCATTGACAGATAACCTCAAAAAAACACTCCTTTCATTGGATATTTATCGATTGTATACAAGTTGTTAGTGAAAAATTATTACATCAAGGCWTTTTTCGCGCCAACTCGCTAACTTGACGAATCGCCCTGACCACTGGTTTGACAAGTGAGAGCAAATCAACTGACATACRCCCAAGGCAAGTAACTTCATCAATGGGTTTATAAACTGCCCCTCTTTCATGAGGTTACGAGGAACCAACTCTTTTAAAATTTGACATATTTCTTTACTCCTCTGATATWCATATATATTTGTTCTTATTATTGAATTTTGCATTGTTTTCATTAAAATTAGTTGRGCTGTTTGTAGGTTTTTGGTCAGTCATAMGGAGCAACTGACTAAATTTCCCTCACTTCTGATATTGATTAAGCAATTAAAACTTGGACCAAAACATTTCACTACATGTTGAGCTTGGCCAATGGTAATATATCATATACGTAGATGTGACTCTAGCATCCTGGAGAACTGTCACACTTAAAGAAAGACTTAAAACAGACCAACTGCTGACAGTTGTTGCATCTTTAGACACCTATCCCAATTGGATAACACGAGCGATGGATAACTCTGGTTTTCTATCTGCCAAAGCTAACGCTTTCTCAATCGCTCAACTGATTGACGGTTCGCATTGTGTTGCTTTAGGACAAGACATGAGGCAAAGTGCTGCGAATACATACGCAAGTGYATGGAGTACACAGCAATTCCATCAAGAAATGGAAGGTTAGAGGGATAATAATAACAACATACACTTAGAAATGGAGGGKTTTGATTTGTTTGTGTTGACAGAGCTGAGGCATAAATTCTACGTCTAGCCCGGATCCCCCTCCGTTATTGACATATCGTTGGACATTAAAACCTTTGAGAGTTTATTTTGTTTTAATATAGCTTCTTAAAAACATATTCTGAAGCACTAATCATTTACATGGCGTAATCATACCGYSGTRTTAGTTTTCCGATGGGGTTTCTTGGTGTTCTTGTGGTGTAAATTTGCCCAGGGGTAAATATCTCCATGGCGCACCTCTAATAGATATAATAGTTTATCGCGTTTAAACAAACATTTCATTCAAACGCTAAATTGTTTGTTTAGAGAGATTGCTCAATGCCGGGACAGGCAAAAGACTTCCTTCGCGACAAGACTCGCTATCAGAATCAGACGAAGACAGTGATGCCATTTCACCTCCATGTTATATCAGCAACCCGTCTACAAACAGAGTTCCTCACACTCGTTCCCCGTGCGCTGAAACGTCTTCTTCGAGGAATAATGGAAGAAGCCTGATCCATGCTAACGTTGAACTTGAGATGAAAAGTCTTTGGGACGAGTTTCACACGCTTGGGACCGAGATGATMGTCACTAAAGCTGGACGGTGAGTGTTATCTTCGATTTGTATCTTGCAAAACGTTAGATTGAAATCTTTATCTCTGGTGATGACGGAATGAGAACTAATTCCGTCGTTTTTGATATATCGTGTGATAAACAGAGATTTATTTGTATTAATTGCAATGAAATATCTGTCGAGAAATAAAAACAAATGCTCAATGGCTTTTTTATGGGGGAAATGTTAATTTTCAATCGGTGCCCGGAGCGAGTTCATTGACTTCACTTATGAAGCTGAAATTGCTTTAAAAAAGACTTGCATTGTCATGTATTATCTAAAAATCGTTGATTCATTCTGACTTCAAACTGACATTCCTTTTCTTCTTCGAGTGAGTTTAGCAAGAACAACAGTCACAGATTAATGGGTTTTTCATGCCGCCATTTTAAGCCATATAGCTATACAACACAATAGGCTATCCAAAATTTTATTTAGGATACAATTGAGTAAGGTATTTTACTTTTCCAAAATTGTTGATTAGCAACTGTAACATGGCAAAATGGCCGTGAAAATGTATTTCTTCTTTTTCTTRTTTTTCCATTGTAAGCTGTACTTAACGTTTTTCAGGAGGGGAAATCTTCAACAATAAAACTGGGTTTAAACTAGTTTTATTCAAGACAAAAGACAGCATAAAATACTGATTCAAATAATAATAATTATCTGTGGTTATCAGGAGAATTAAAAAACTGAGAAACTTCTTTACGCGGTATTGCACAGAACTGATTGAAATTAGTAAAAAACACTGATCAACAATTCAAAAAAATATAAATTGGATATGTGGTCACAGTTCTGTCCAACAACCATATGTGAGCACTGATCCTATGTAAATACGATTTTTATGGCATGTATAGAACTCAAGCACAAGGGTTCGAAAGCGTATAAGTTTATGTTGAGATTGTAACAAAATGATTGCTTGTAAATRATTGTAACAAAGTTACATAACTGCATGAGATCACCTGACTCGTGTTGCGTATCACAGAATGGCCATTGTGATGCTGCTGCAGCTATGGAGGTTTTGGACGTCCTTAGCTCTCTCAACTAAAACTAATAAAGACTATCTGTAGATTCAATGATGCAGTTTTGAATATATTGTAATCTGAGCCGATTTCCAAACTTAGTCTGTGTCCTGGTAACATCGCGCTTTTGTCTGAATTTGTTTTGATCTAATAATCGCCATTATGTAAAATTACTTTTTCTGGGTTTAACATTTTGTCGTAGGTTTTTTCAAAAATCGTTTTYTAAAATACATAAGAATTGCTTCCAGTTGCTTGATATTGCCCTAATATGGTAAGGATTTTTAGTGTTTTCGAATTTTCGGCCTCTGAAACTTCGAGCACCAAATATAGCTYCAGGGTACTTCGGGCTTCAGTAAAAGATGACTCTATCATCCCAATTGTTATCTAAACTTACAGAAATTATTTAAAATGTTTCAATCAATTGCTTAAAAAACTGTTAACATTTCGTGTACAAAGAATTACAGTGTACTAAAAAGTATGTGTGATATCTTAGAAAATTAAGAAGAGCAGGCCTTCGTTTGATAAATTAAAAGACCATTATGCAGTTAACTCCCTTTGAACGACCATTCTTGTAAGCGACCATCCCCCGTAAGCGACCACCTTTTAAATTTCCCGTTTTGTTCAGTTTCCCATGATATAAACTCTGTAAAAAAAATTCTCGTAAGCGACCMCTTTTTCCTGATCCCGAGGACCGAGGATATTTGACCAAAGAATATCCAAGCAGTCCTTTAAATTTTCATTGTTTTATTTTCAGACGAATGTTCCCCACATTTCAAGTTCGTCTTTCTGGCCTTGACCCAACCGCTCGATATATCTTAATGATGGACTTTGTACCAGTGGATGATAAACGATATCGTTACGCCTTCCATAGTTCCAAGTGGTTAGTGGCGGGAAAAGCTGATCCTAGTGTACCTGGACGCGTGCACATTCACCCTGATTCACCGTGTACTGGCGCACAGTGGATGAAACAAATTGTGTCATTTGACAAATTAAAGTTGACTAATAACCTTATGGATGATAATGGACACGTGAGTAGTGTAAAATTAACACAATCAAATAACTAAATAAGCAACTTGCTAGACAACTTACATAAAAACATTCAACCAAC